TTGCACCTATTAAAGGATAATTGTTTGGAAATCTAACCTTATGTCATGTATACATGTATGGATATGGTTCAGTGGGCTAAGGAATGCGGCGCATGAATTTTAAACCGTCTAAAAACGTGCAGGTACCGCCGTTTAACTTAAACCATATCAAAAAGAAGAGAAATATGAGAACTCACTGTTATCCCGATGATAAGTTCAAGATATAGCAGAATTTTGGTTAGCATGGTGGCTACTTGTCGGTAAATGGAGTAGATAAGAAGCGTCTTGGAAGCTCTTGACTGCACCCGAGGGCTGATATGCATGCACGTGTTGAAACAAACGGTTCGACGCGTGATAGGAGCGTCGAAGGAATGTCCGCGGACCCAACATCAGTCAGAACACGTGTTTCTCGTGCAAGATGACACGACAAAAAAACTCGCTTACAAAGCATAAAATGGTGGTCGCCCAACTGAAAAATATATTCAAGAAAGACGTCCTCTGGCTCATTTCTGCGTATTTCTCGCGTTTTTATAATTACTGGTGTGCGAACGCTCATTTCCAAGGCCTAGGAGAAAACTATTAATAACACGCAGTCGTTCAGCTCAGTTTATTCCTAGCCAGTAATTAAATTGGAAAATTATTGCAACAAATCGAATTAACCCCAAAATATTTAACGTAGATATAGTGTGAGGCGACCTGAATAACGTGACACGTGCAAACTGGAGCATGCAAGCGGATCCGGTATTTCCGCGGGTTATACAGTTACAAGAAACGACAACTCGGTCCAAACTTTTCCACCTGTTGGGATCGAAATGGTTTTTATCTACTTATATCTGTGCTAAATCTTTCCTGCGCTGCTGAACCCTCTTTTATGGTCTTCAGTGTAGTTAGCTAAAACATCTCAAGCGATACGAGCCTGGATTAGCGTCCCGCCGTCTTGAGTTGCAATGCAAGCTGCGCCTTAAATCTGTTGCTATTTAAAAACTCCGTCTTCGCAAACAAGCCGCGTTATATGTGGGTGAACAAATGGGAAAACCAAACATAACTCAATAACATACCGATATTCCAGTCCCTGCCAGAAAAAAATAATTGGTTATGTTTTCTTAATCGTATTAAAGTCTACTCCCTCAAACCAACTTCGACTTAAACAATATACTGAGAAAGCGTAAACAATACAAAACACTACCAGGTCATTAATTAATACTCTACACGGATGTGGTGGCATCACTTGCCTTGACATAACTTAATTTTTCTCTTATTTATATCCAGCTTGGGCTAGGTTATGACAAACAAATAAATAACGTCTCAGATTATTTTTTTGAATTTGGATGTAAGCAGATTGGGAAACAACGAGGAACTGCGAATGAAATATTCTGCCCAGAACGGTCAGAACGAAGCAGTTGAATGCAAGCAACGAGACCCAGGCTCACTGGTGAAAAGTGTCTAAATAAAGCACTCAGTTACTTACTTACTACTTAAGAGACCTCATTTTCTCTTGATGCAAGCGGTACAAATGGACTCTAAATAAATAGGGCTGATACATGTCGATAAGTGAAATACCAGTTGAATATACTCACCGACGAGGCTATAGATGCAACGGCGAATCCTACAAATAAACCAATGACTTGAGACTTTACAAACATTTTTTTTCCGTATCACTGGAGATGACACTGTTCGGACTAAATTGTTCAAAACACAGTGACGTCAACGCTACCAATCGCGCCGCCGACAGACACAGAAAAGGCTGGAATTGCCGCTATACCCTAACGTGAAAGCATCTGTTATCGAGTTGCATGATGGGATGCGGGACTGTCCCTTCGCCGACCTACGGCGGAAATTTTCCACTCGGCCTTGGCGGAACTCACTAGGACGGCAATTGTTGGAAGACTGGGTAACGCTATCCACCGGATACATCGCTATCCGATGGATAAATCTAGCATGCATAAAGCTAGGATGTTGCTTTTAATTTCTTCTTCTGTTGTTTACAAAAGCCTACAGGATATTAAAGCAACACGTGCACGCAGGATCGAGTATTATGAGGTTTGAAGTGCCGTGGGAAAATATGGGACGGGTGATTGCAGATCACTTGATAATGACTTGACGCGTCAATTTAGACAGCGTTTATTAAGTTTATTGACATGAATCATTCAACAGACGATATATGTATGTTAATATCGGCTTGCAGTTCAAATGTAATCTTATAGCGTCAAAAGATATGCGTGGCCAAAGAGCCAAGTGTCGAAAGTACGTTGATTTGATACCCTTTGTGAGTATATCGACCAACACGTTTCGATTTATTTTCGCCAAGACTCTTATTTTACACCTATTAAAGGGTAATTCAATTAAATGAAAATGCCGGTGTGAAAATATATTAATCTATTATTTTTGTTTGACAACAAAGCCACTTAGGCATGTCAGTTACAGTGTGCTAGCCACGGGTGGTCTAACATCGATGATATGCATGCTCACTAATCCCTTTTGCGACCGTCTGATCAGTTGAATCCAGCATTGCTCTTTCGTTTATGAAATCAACCTTACAGACCTTACACTGGCCTGGCCCAGTGTTTTGAGCGCAAGATACAATAACGTTATGTTTGGAAATCTAACCGTATGTCATGTATACATGTATGGATATGGTACAGTGGTCTAAGGAAAGCGGCGCATGAATTTTAAACCGTCTGAAAACGTGCAGGTACCGCCGTTCAACTTAAACCATGTCAAAAAGAAGATAAATATGAAACTGACTCACTGTTATCCCGATAATGAGTTCAAGATATACCTAAATTTTGGTTAGCATGGTGACTACTTGTCGGTAAATGGAGTAGATGAGAACGTGTCTTGGAAGCTCTTGACTGCATCCGAGGGCTGATATTCATCCACGTGTTGAACGGACTTTGATACCGCCAAACGGTCCGACGCATAGGGTTAACGTCTGGCTTAACTCTATCGAAGGAATGTTTGCAGTCCCAACATCAGTCTGAACACGTGTTACGCGTGCAAGATGACACGAAAAAAGAAAATAACTCGCTTACAAAGCGTGAAACGGTCGTCGCCCAACTGGAAAAATATATTCAAGAAAGACGTCCTCTGGCTCACAGTTCTGCGTATTTCTGGCGTTCTTATAATTAATGGTGTGCGAACGCTCATTTCTAACGCCTAGGAGAAAACTATTAACAATACGCAAAGTCATTCAACTCAGTTTATTCCTAACCGGTAATTAAATTGGAAAATTATTGCAACAAATCGAATTAACCCCAAAATATTTAACGGAGATATAGTGTGAGGCGAGCTGAATAACGTGACACGTGCAAACTGGAGCATGCAAGCGGATCCGGTATTTCCGCGGGTTATACAATTACAAGAAACGACAACTCGGTCCAAACTTTTCCACCTGTTGGGATCGAAATGGTTTTTATCTACTCATATCTGTGCTAAATCTTTCCTGCGGCGTTGAACCTTCTTTTATGGTCTTCAGTGTAGTTAGCTAAAACATCTCAAGCGATACGAGCCTGGATTAGTGTCCCGCCGTCTTGAGTTGCAATGCAAGTTGCGCCTTAAATCTGTTGCTATTTAAAAACTCCGTCTTCGCAAACAAGCCGCGTTATATGTGGGTGAACAAATGGGAAAACCAGACAAAACTTAACAATATACCAATATTCCAGTCCCTGCCAGAAAAATTTATTTGGGTATGTTTCTTAGAAGAAGCTACTTTTTCATTGTTATCAATAACACCATGAACAAAAACCCTTATGTTTAGGGCAACTGCGCCAGCTGCAGCGGTAATAAAAGGAGTATCGAATTTTTGGCCACGTCATAAATAGAGTAGCAGATTTTGGTCATATATAGGGTAAAGAGTTTTGAGAAGTGTGCCCACACCACCACCCAGGTTTTCTGGAAGTACCCCCGGGGTCCCGGCATCAGAGCCGATTAAACATAAGATGGTGTCATCGATTGTGAGAGGAATAGGAAAACTCCCCTTAAGACGCCCTTATTCATAATATGGAAGCTTTGAACTTTTCTGTGTCGAGACCTCGAGTCAGCAATTATATAAATATGGTTTTGTTCTTCTTCTCAAATCAGATGGTATCTATCTCAAACCAACATCTTAGAGGTGGAGTGTAAAGGGCTTTTAACGATCTACAGTATGACGGGCCGGGAGAATTAAATCGATGAATGTACAGAATCTATCAGCCTTCGAGATAATTTA